TTCCCTTCGCCTTCGAAGGCAAAGCCAATTCTTTTAAAAATGACGCCCTACTACTGGTATGACAAAGCCTCCCCTGCCCAAGAGGGCAGCCCAACCCCACGTGGGGAGGCGAATCTCCTGGGGCCGCAGCACAGGATTGGCCCACCCCGGGAGAAGCACCCAGACGCCATCCCTGCCTGGCGCCGGGCAGAGCACGAAGAGCTTTGCCTGGGGCACCCAGCACAGCTGACAGGCGGGTCTTCCTGCCCGGCAGCAGAGCTCTCGCCAAGGCAGTGAGCGCCTCCCTGCTGGACCCTCTGCTCATCCCGCCAGAGCCAGGATGGCTGGGCAGAGCTGGGAAAGCAAGCCACGGGTGTGCACCCACCTGCCAACCCAAAGAGCCAGGCCAACCTGAGCTTGGCTTCCTTCCCAAGTCCCTCAAAGCCCAAACCTGAAGGGGCCACTGGGATAGGCTGCCCGAGGCAGTGATAGCACCCACCCTTCTGTGGACAGGGAGGCGAGCCCATGGCTGGCTGCGGCAGCACGGGGAGAAGGGAAAGCAACAGTGGCAGAAGGTCTCCCAATACGAAGTGCCCCACTAACGCCGAGGTCAACATCCAAGCCATCGCCACCTGCCCGAGGATGCAAGGAGGGGGGAATTAAGTCACCCCCTAAAAGATGGCCTAGCCGTTTTTTCGGGGGTCAAAAAAAAAAGGCCCAGCCTTATTTTGTGAGAAACACGGTATTAAGAGTATCTTTTGATTGTTCTCTATTATCTCCACTATCAATATCTTCCCATCTTCATCTGTGAAAATTAGTTCAGCATTTATTGTATTTTTAATATATAGACAACCCCATTTTTGCTTTGCTGTGCCAATGAAGTATATAAATTACCAATTCTGGAATAGTCCAAAACTTGAACATGCTGTTTTTTAATATGTACCTCTTGTAAGCAGATTATATCTGATTTTAGTTTTCCTAATTTATTAAAAGTTCTTTTTCTTTCAATCCATTTATATTCAATCCATTTATATTTATTGATATTAATTTCTTCTCTTCCATTGTTTATATTTTATAGGTAGGATTATTGCTCTCATCATTCTTTGCTCTCTTGCTTCTTTTGGTTCTGCTCTTCCTCCTGTTGCTCCTTCTTCTCCCGCCCTTTCATCTCTTTTTTCTTGTTTATCTCTTTTTTCATTGATCTCCTCCCAGTATTTACTTATTTTCCCTTTTCTCATTCTCTCTTCTTTTCCTCTGAAATATTTATCATAAAATTTCTCTGCTTTTTCTATTGAATCCAATTTATGTCTTTTTTCTTGACCAACAAGCTTTCTAGTATCAGCCATCTGAACTTCACTCCTTTCTTAATTAAAATCTTTGTCAAGAACTGATATTCTGTTCTCAAATATCTCACTCTTCTTGGTACTTGTTTTAAGACTGTAACCACTTTCCCTTTATATTTCAATGGGTCATCCCCTGCTCTATGCAGTATTTCTGTTTAATTGTCTTCTTAGTAAATCTCACATGTACTTCTCTAGGTAATTTGTCTCTCATTGCATATCTGGTGTACACTCAAAATATTTCATCAATTCCATCCATCATTTTTTTCTTTTGGCACCTCCATAGCTTCTGCCAACATTTCTGTCATTATCTCTACAAGGTTTTCTCCTTTTTCTTCCTCCACATTTTGAAATCTTAAATAAAAATCAGCTTAATCCATTTCCAATGAAATCATTGTCTTCCCCTTATCTTTTCCACTATTGTCAACCTGTAGTCAATTTCTTCTACTTTGCTACCAATTTAAAGTCCTCCTCTTTGGACTGCAAGGAGTGCCTGCTGTGTTTAGGCAATTGATCAATGAAACCCTTCATGAATTTTTATATAAAGGGGTTCTAGTGTATCTTGATGATATTTTAATCTACACGGAAAAGATGGAAGAACACATCAAGCTACTTTGTGCAGTCCTCACAAAACTCTTAGATGCTAAACTATATGCAAAACTCTCTAAATGCGAATTCCACCAAGAAAAAATTGACTATTTGGGGTATAGAATATCCCACGAGGGAATAGTGATGGACCCACAGAAAGTAAAAGCTGTACTGGACTGGCACCCACAGCACACCTGCAAACAACTGCAAAGCTTCCTGGGGTTTGCGAACTTTTATCACCAATTCATTCCAGCTTTTGCAAACATCGCCATCCCTATCATGAACTTGCTAAAAACAAAGAGGGGGAGAAACCCAAACCAAGGCAACCCCTTATCTGGACAATGGAATGCCAAGTGGCATTCAAGAAGCTCAAACATCTGTTCTCAGCAGAACCGGTCCTTAAGCACCCAGATCCTGAACTACCTTTTGTCATCCAAGCAGACGCCAGTGATGTTGCAGTTGGAGCAGTCCTCCTTCAAAAGAATGGAAGTGGACAATTACAACCATGCGCTAATACATCCAAGAAACTGATGGAAACTGAGCAAAGATGGGCCATATGGGAGAAAGAGGCATATGTTGTGCGGTGGGCAATGCTCACATGGAGACATTTCCTGGAAGTAAACCAAATCTCCTTTGAAGTGCGGACTGATCACAAAATCTGGAAGCCCTGAAAAATCCATGGAAACTCTCAGAAAAACAAACAAGGTGGGCTCAATATTTTAAACGTTTTAATTTTACTCTCAAATATTTTCCTGGGAGAAAGAACTTCTTAGCAGATGCACTGTCCAGAAAACCCCAATACAACAGCAAAAAGATTGAGGTTATAAAACCGATGATCCAACTAACCCAACTAGCAGCCAAAGTAATCACCCGGGCATAAGAGAAAAAAAAAATCATCCCTGACTGAAGACACAACAACATCAACATTTAAGGAGGCACTACTTAAGGACAACTGGCTCCAGGCTAACAAAAACACTTGTTTACTCAAAGATGGACTGGCTTGCGTAGAGAACAAACTTTATGTCCCTGCAAGCCAGAGAATGGACCTTATGAAATGCTGCTACGACTCCAAAATAGCGGGACACTTTGGGTTTGTAAAAACTCTGCACTTCATCAAAAAACAATTTTGGTGGCCGTCCCTCAAAAGGGACATTGAAAACTATGTTGCAAGCTGCCCACCTGGGCTGCTGCAAAGAGAAGACAAGGAAAATATCCTGGACTTTTACAAACAGTAGCAGACCCTTCTGCTCCCTGGAAAGACTTTATGGACTTTATAGTGGAGCTTCCCGAAAGTGCTGGAAATATTGTCATTTGGGTTGTAACTGATCTTTTTTCCAAACAGGTTCACTTTATTCCATGCCAAAAGATCCCAACTGCCAAGGCATTGGCAAAAATGTTTCTAATACACATTTATTGCCTTCATGGAGCCCCCCAATGGATTATCTCAGATAGGGGTGTTCAGTTCACATCCAAATTTTAGGCTCCACCCAGGGGTTGTCGTCAGGAAATCACCCCCAGACCGATGGATCGATAGAGAGAGTGAACAGCGTATTAGAACAATATTTAAGATGTTTTATCCAACAGGACAATTGGACTGATCTTCCTTTTGCAGAGGTAGCATACAATAACTCAGTCCATAGTAGCACAGGGTTCACACCATTCCAGGTAGCCATGGGCCAAGAATTCAACCCCATGCCAGAACTACCCACCAAAGAACCTGAAATCCCCTCCCGTAAGGAGTGGATGGATAACTTACAAGCCATGTGGCCAGTGATAAGATTATCTTTACAGGAAGCTAGCACAGTTTACAAAACTCAAGCAGACAAAAAATGTTGCGAACCTAAACCTTTCAAGATTGGGGACCATGTATATTTGTCCACAAAATTCTTAAAATCATTACAACTCTCTAAGAAATTAGCACCAAAATTCATTGGCCCATTCCCCATCTCCAGAATTATTAACCCTGTGACGGTAGAGCTTCAACTTCCAAAAACACTTAGGCAGATTCATCCAGTATTTCACTGTAGCTTGATCAAACCAGAGATCACTTCAAACCTCAGACACCCCCTTCCCACACCTCCAACCCTCATCATGGTCACATGGGGAACAACATTTTGAAATTAAAGATATCCTTGATTCACGCACTCACTGTGGATCCACACAATATTTAGTCGCTTGGAAACACGTTCCTTCCTCAGAAAACAAGGGGGTAGCCAAACAGCATGTAAAAGCACCCACATTACTATGAAAGTTCCACCTAAAATACCCTGATAAACCATCCTGAATTGCAAATGTAATGCATGATTTTCATTTTTTCCAGATAGGCCTATCTGTTTTTTAAGGAGGGCAGGATGTCAGATCTGTGTATCTGTCATTTCTTCAGTGGAAGAAGAAAAGTGGGGGAGAATGATAAAGAAATCCTTTCTTGATGTAACCTGAATATATTTAATCTTATATCAAATTTGTATAACCCACACATGATACAATGGAGGGAGAAAAGCCAGATGGCCGGAACCTATCACCTCTGAGAGGCACAGCCAGGAGATGAGAAGATCATAAAAATTCCACAGTGAGATGTGCCCTGGGAATCTCTGGAAAAGTTCATTCTAAAAAGGGGGTGGAGGAAAATTAGGTATGCCCTGGGAAACTATGAAAAAGATCGCTCTTAACAAAAGGGGTGGGGAGGAATTAACATACTGGCTTTTGTTTCACTAAATACACATCAAGATAAGGGGAGGGGTTCTAAACTCCCTTATGTATCCCTGTATGCCTGAGAGACCTCAGACGCTGCTTTGAACTCCTACATGAATTGTCTCACCTCAATAAAGGATTCCTTTTTTATACATTTTATACATTTTCAGAAGTTCATTCTAGCTGAGTGAATGGGAAAAGTTCTGTAGCCTGACAGAATTACAGCGGAATGGCTTGAACAAATGACTTGACTGATACACATCTTTCCCAAGCCAGCTTTCACTGTATGTAGTCACAGGAGGATCTTGGGTCTTTTAGCTTTCTCATAGCCAGTAAGTTGGGTGTGCTTGGGTAGATCTGATATTCTTCGTGCCATGTGAATTGTTGCTCTTGCTTTTACAGCAGGGAGAAGAGACTAGCAATTCTGTTCCAGCAGGGTCACTGCCTTTCCCTACTGTGGCAGCTCTTCAATCTGGATGTAGCCAGAAATAAGAAAACGTTCACCCGTTTGGCAGCCCTCATGCAGGTGAACTGTGCAGAGGAGTCTCAAGATGAATCTCAGGTATACTTAGATGTCTTTTCTGCCCTTGCAGACTATCGCCATTCTTGTTTTTTTTTTTTCTGTATACTATAGAGAGAAAACTGGTATCAAATGATACCTGACAATTCATGCTGTAGATAATTTTGTTTGGATTAGCACTCTCAGGGTTTGATCAATTGTTCTTTGATGTATAATGTATAATGATGATAATTAAAAATCATACATTTAATACAGCTGTCAAGTGCAAGGATTCTTGTGCACATTAATAACTGTAATACAGAAAAAAAGTACTCAGGTACTATCTAAACCAGGGGTCACCAACCTTTTGGACCTCAGGGACCACCAAACTCATAATTTTAAATCCCAGGACCACTAACTGGTTCTATAGGCATGGCCTAATTTGTGGGTGTGGCTTGGTGATCATGTGACTGGCTGGGCAATGCTTTTATGTAAATATTATAAATACTTATATAAATATTGAATTTTTTATTAAAAAAGAGCAACTTTTACCCCAAATCAGGCAAAGCAGGCAGGCAGATTGAGTTGCTCACAGATTCATTCAGAAATCTATCTGCCATCGGCTAGCTCAGTCTGTCACATAAAATTTGCTTGCAAGCAAACTCACAAAATTAACTCACAACACACAATGAATGTAAATATTGATTTTTTTAAAAAAAAGAGCAACTTTTACCCAAAATCAGGCAAAGCTGGCAGGCAGATTGAGTTGCTCACAGAATCATTCAGTGATCTATCTGCCATCGGCTAGCTCAGTCTGTCAAATAAAATTTACTTGCCATAAGTCTGCACTGAATAATAGAACCTTCAGTCCTAAGGAGGTTCGGTTGTGCTTAAAAGCAGAGCCGAAGATCTAAAGATTAGCTAAAAAACAAGAAATGTAACCATTTCCTGCTTCCTATCTAATCTAAATCTCCCGGCACAGCAGAACAGCTGATGGTTGGCGGGGGGTGGGAAGAAAAATAGCAACTTAGCAGGCAAGTTTGCTGGGTAAGGAGTGAACAGGGAGGGTTCCTGTGGGCCCTGTCGGTGGTGCAGCCTTGTGTTTCCACACAGCCTGGATTAATTGCTTTGGGGGGTGTGCTCTGGGGGTGAGATTTCTCTGCGGCCCACCAAAATTTTCTCACAGCCCACCAGTAGGCCGCAGCCCACCAGTTGGTGACCGCTGATCTAAACTACTGTAAGTAATGGAAATAAACAGGTTTAAATTCAGATACGTTTAGTAACTTACACTGGTTTGCTGTGGATGACATTACTGCGCTAGTAATTAATTCTTGATTTTCTCATTATCTCACATTCTAACATTAATTTACTGCCATAAATTTATTACTTAGGTTAAAAAGTTTTACCTTGTTTTCTAAATAAAATTTTAAATAAAAAGAAACATAGTATAAAGAAAAATAAGAAAAAGAAATATAGGAAGAAGCAGCCACAATAAAACTAAACTCTGACTTCACAACTTTAGAAAAAAGACAGCAATGTTGATATCATCCAAATATATATTGAAAAAAGGTGCCACAGTTATATTCCCTAATGTTCAATGCTTTGTTTGCTCATCTGAATGTCTTGTGTAAGACAAAGGATATTAAGACCATTGATACAATCTGATACTATAAATGATTTACTGTGGGGATAGTGGGGGTTTTAAGTTTTTTGAAAATTCAACCATTTGTTTGATGCAAATTAATAAGATACTAGAATTCACAGAAACAAAAAAACACTGAGAAGTCCAGCAAAGTTATGTATACACTATTCTCATTTCAAAGATCATCTTCCAGAACTATTATTACCAATTTTGGCCTTCAAATTGTAGTGAGTGCCAAATTGTAAAAGTTCGAGGAAAGGTTCTGCAAGTTTCCGACTAAAGCAATACTAGATTCTTTCCACTAAAATATTCTTAATAGGTGCCAAAGTTCATTTGTGCCTTTATTTGTAATATCATAGATAATCTCATCCTATATGGATTTCTCCCTCTGCTATCAAATGATGGGTTGCCAACATGAATGGATGAAGTATGAGTTAATGGCCATCAAACGTAGTTCTCATCTTCAAGTTGTTGGAGGAGGGTTACTGACAATTGCTAAATTAGCATCATCATTGGCTTACATGAAGCTTTGTTTGGGGAACATGCTTTTAGCCATCCAACTGGGTAAGTTAGTTTGACAGTTTCTAATGCAGCAATTCTTGAGCTCAAAAGTAGGCAGATATTTTTGGACTGCTTTTTTTTTTTTTTAGGTTATCGTGCACACGAGTTATATGAGCAATTGAAGAGGCCTAACCTTGACGCTAATGTGCTCCATGACATTTTCAAAGCTCTTTATCTCAGCACCAGGTACTTGGTTGTATCTTTCTTTCTTTCTTTCTTTCTTTCTTTCTTTCTTTCTTTCTTTCTTTCTTTCTTTCTTTCTTTCTTTCTTTCTTTCTTTCTTTCTTTCTTTCTTTCCAAAAAAAGTGACTTTCAGAATAACAGAGTTGGATGGGAACTTGGAAATCATCTAGTCCAGTAGTCCCCAACCATTTTGGCTTGGCAGCCTGGTGAGGGAGAGGGGATAATTCCCTGTGAGTGGTAGGTGTGTGTGCGCGCAAGTGTGCATGCTTCATTTGTGTGAGTGGCGGGTGTATGCACCTGCTGCTCCCACAAAGAGAGCTTCACACGAGTACACTGGTTGCCACTTCAGCGAAGGGAGCTTCATGCAGGTGCGCGCCCGCTGGTTTAGGTTTTAATGATAATTGAATCTAAATTGAATTAAACAAAACCAATGTAGTCTAACACGGCATCAACAGAGGAATACTATGAAGATTATGTGAAGTACCATTTTATACTGAGCTGGTGAGGCTGCCCTTGGAATACTGCATTCAGTTCTAGTCAGCATAATAAAAAAAAAAATCACAATACAAAAAAAAAGCGATGGGCAGAAGCTTATTCTGAGAAATGTTCCTGACAGTGAGAACAATTAATCAGTGAAATATCTTGCTACCCCGAGTTATGTGTGCTCTCATTGCTGAATGTTTTCAGAAAAGATTGGACAACCATTTGATCAGGATAATATAAAGTCTCCTTCCTTAAGCAGCAGCTTGAACTAGAAGATCTCCAAGGTTTCTTGCAGCACTATGTGTTCTATATTAGCATACTCCAAATACACGTATCTGATTGGTCCACACAAACTGGAAGGTGATTGGGTAACTGAACTGCCATGATTGGCTCGTTTATGAATCAACTGCAATTGGCCAGGCCGATCGCGGGAGATTCAAAGAGCTGTCATTGGCTGGTGAGCTGCGAGCAATCCCTATATGAAGGGCTGCCACGGCTCCAAGATCTTGTACCGATCTATACATCTAAATAAAGAGCTGAAATGTCACTTTGGTCTCGAGTCTCTCTTTCCATGATCTAACACTACGATTCTATGATTTTTGGAAACAGAAACTAACCATACAGATTGGAGCCATATAAGATGATAAATTTTTATTCAGTTTGTGAGTCTGTAGTCTAATGAAATCTGTAAATATAATATTAACAAGATAACAGAGTTGGAAAGGACCTCGGAGGTCTTCTAGTCCAACCCCCTGCAGGATACCATTAGTATCCTTTCTCTAGTTCTAGAGCAGCCAGGACCTGGTTAGATAACCATATGTGTCCCCCCTCTTTCCTCCTTCATAATTCTTGCTGCAAATCCAAAATTGAGATTTGTTTTGTGGGAAAGGTGCATGTCACTGAAGTCATCATTGCCCAAAAGATACTCATGCAATCAAAAATCAAGGTTAAATCCATGTGAATTAAATCATACAACCATTTCTCCATCCCAATTTAAAAGGACACATATACCCATTTCTGATGTGGCCTTGAAATTTTGTCTGCTTCGGTCCCAGTAAGGGCAGCATTTTGCACATCTCCCACTGATAATATCCCCCAAAATGATAGGTTTTCTGAAAAGTAATTTACAAATAACTTAACAAGCAACAGGACATAGTTTTTACTTGATTAGCATAGTCTATTTACAGAATATAAAATAATTGAGTTGAAAGGGACCTTGAAGGTCTTCTAATCTAACCCTTTGCTCCAGGAGGACACCCTATATCCATTCTGGAGAAATAGCTGTCCTATCTCTCTTTTAATACTTCCTGTGATGGAACACCCACTCTGGAGACAAGCCAGTTGACTGATTAACAGGAAATTTCTCCTTAATTCTTGGTAGGACCACTCTGATAAGCTTCCTTATGTTATTTCTTGCCTTGCCTTCAGGTGCTTTGAAGAGTAGGTTGACCCCACCTCTTAACTGTGACAGTTTCCCAAGTATTGAAAGACTACTATCATGTCACTCCAGTTCTTCTTTTCATGAAATCAAACATACTCAGTTGCTACACCCAGACTGCAACTTTTGTCTTCCAGTCCCCTAATCATCTTTGTTGCTCCTCTTTGCATTCTTTCTAGAGTTTTATATCATGGTGACCAAAACTGGATGCAGTATTCTAAGTGTGGTCTTATCAGTGCAATATAAATCATTACTAACACTTGATTTTTATTTTTATTATTGTTGTTATTATTTCTTTTATTCATTAAACATGAAACTCAGCCACCTGAACATTTAAAAATGTATCACAAATATCATTGACTGGTACTGGTTGATATGGGTTGCTGTCAGCATCCTAGATATCAGCCAAGTATCTTCTTAAAATGTACAATGTTCTCAGTAGCGCAGTTTTTTGCAGTTCTGCTGGTGTTATTGCAGGAAGCTACAATTTCTTGATGTATTTTGTAAAACTCTTGAACATGGTACGTAGTGCCCTGATGATAATGGGTATCATTGTTGTTAGGAATGTAAGTCACCTAACAGTTGGGTTGGAAATATATAAATCAGGATAGACATTTTAATACTGACTTTGAACAAAGTCCTGCTTTTGATAAGAAAATTTATCAGTCTTTGATTGGTAGCTTATCTTATCTCAGTAATTGGTCAAGGCCAGATATAGCATACATTGTTAACCAATTAGCAAGGTTTAATGCTGAGCCAACTGAAAGGCACTGGCAAGCTGCTAAGCGTGTGTTAAGATATCTGAAACATACAATGCATTATTCATTGTATTTGGAGCCAAAAGATGAATTGAATTTAACTGCATATGCCAATGCAAGTTTTGCTACAGACATAAATACACGTAAATCTATGTTAGGTACTGTAGTATTATTAGGAAAAGTGTTGATTGGATGGAGGTCTATTCGACAGAAACTTCTAAGTTTGTCAACAATGGAGGCTGAATTGTCATGTTTATCTCTATTATGTACAGATTTAGTTTACTATAAGCAACGATTGATTGATTATGAAATTGATGTAACAGATTCTATTGTTGTTTATGAAGACAACCAATCAGCAATACAAATGGCTTCCAATCTTGCTGTAAAGACAAGATCAAAATACACAGATTTAAGACATTTAAATGTTAGACAATGTGTGCAAAGTAAGATGATTAAGCTGGAATACTGTATGTCAGAAAATAACATTGCAGATCATTTTACAAAAGCCCAAGGCTCTGTAAAGCATAAGGCTTGCTGTGAGGATTATGGACTTAGAATGTAAGGTTGTATATATTGTCCTACCCAAAGGGGAGAATATTAGGAATGTAAGTCACCTAACAGTTGGATTGGAAATATATAAATCAGAATAGACATTTTAATACTGTCTCTTTAAGGGAATGCTACAGTTTTAATTGGGTGTGGTTCCTCAAATGGCCATAAGATGGAGCCAGAAACCTGGTTTCCAAGAGAGTGTTTTGGTTCCTGCATTTTTCCCTATTGACTGTTACTGATCATCGTTATTCTTGGATTTGATGTAAGTCTGTTACTGAACTGTTTATGATACTGGACTTTGTTATTTGGATTATCCCTGGACTGAATACTGACTGCTATAACCGTGTATGACTTGGACTGTTTGTTGGACTTTGCTTAACCGTTTACTGGAAGTAAAACCCTACATTTTACTATACAGTGTATCTGTGTGCTGGTTGTATGTTATTCTTCACCACTCTCACTACGTCTCCCTGTGTGCACTCATTCTCCTAATGGGGAATTACCTCAACAATTGTTACATGTTTCATCCATAATCACATAGTTTCATTGGCCAGATTCCAATCTTTTATAATTTTTTCCAGTTCTTTTTCTTTGACTCCAGTGTCTCCTGGTACAGTGATATCAATAAATTGTATGCTTTGGTTTTCATCAACTGTGATATCTGGCATCTTGTTCCAAATTATGATCTGTCTGTATTAATAATAATTAAGTCATTATTATTATTATACACAAAAATGACAGTATACACAGCAAACGAGATAACCATGCTGGGTTTCATATCACAAATCACTAGTTGAACACTTCCCAAGTGTTTAGGACTGTGTGATGTATCAGCGGATTATGCGAGCAGATCCCAGTAAGGTGGCCTTCTGCAGCTGACCAGTGGTGATCTTGTCAGTGCCAATTGTTTTTAAGTTCTTGCCTAGGTCTTTAGGCACAGCACCCAGTGTGCCGATTACCACTGGAACCATCTGTACTGGTTTATGCCAGAGTCTCTGCAGTTTGATTCTCAGGTCCTGATATCTGGTGACTGTCAGCCTTCAGGATCTTCTACTACTGCTTTGCATCTTTTGGCTGCCACAAGTAACAGGGGGAGGAGGGGGGATAATGTCTGGGAAGAGAGCTGGAGGTGTTACATTCTTGTGTTGGGTAAATGAGGAGTTGGGGGGGAGTATAAATTCCTGCTCTTAGGTTTCTATTTCTCGCTTGGCTTTTCTTTTTCTGCACAGCTGCAAACCTTTATCAAAATATGCCAAGGTCAACGGACAGAGCCCTCATCACCACCTGAAGATGTCCACATGATCGTATTCAGAACTTTTAATTGGAAGAATCTTTTGAACTATGGGGGGTGGGAACAATTCCACCACTTTGTATATCTGATTTGTGCACCTTATTTCTCAGATTCAGAATTCTACTGATGTTACCACTTCATTTTCAGTAAAAGACATCTTTGCTCTAATCTAAAGAGTCTAAGTTTTCTTTCTTGAATTTTGAATGGAGCATCACCTGACAGTGACTTTTTCAAGTTGTTTGTCATCGATTCTGCTGTCACCAGGTATGGCAATGTCGATGATCCACACTTTCTTCTTCTCCACAATCGTGATATCCGGGGTATTGTGTTCCAAAACTTTGTCAGTCTGTATTCAGAAGTCCCACAGTAGTTTTGCATGCTATTTACAGAATATAAAATAATAATAATAATAATAATAATAATAATAATAATAATAATAATAAT